GAGGGATCATGACCCCCAGTTTGAGAACCCCCGGATTAGAAAAAGGTACAATGTTAATTCCAAACATTTGTTTCCAGGAAGCTGACTTTTTGCTTAGCTTTTTCACCTCCCCACCCAGACTTGTATGGCTGATATAACAGCACTTTATTTGAGCCTCTCTGTCACACTGACATCTGACAACCTTGTTTAATAAATATGGCACATTATTATTACCCAACAATACCTAATGAGGAAATGCTGGAAACACTATGTGCCTCATGTTAATTTTAGATGACAGAAGCTAACAACAGACAACTACTTAAAACTCAGGGAAAGCATGTGTTTCTATTATCAAATTGAAAAAAAATCATGAAAACAATAATGTCAAAAGGTGTAAAAGAAACAAGGCCATTTAGAGCTACAGTTGCATCAGAAGCCAAAATCTGCTTCTTCTTACGTAGGTGTAAATCTAGAATAACCCCATTGACTTCAGTGCAATTATGCTGATGTAACAAAAAGCAAAATTTGGTCTTTCTGTCTCAGCATGAGCATTCCTGTAGCATACATACTGCACAGCAAGAGGGTCAGTGACAGAGTAGCAGTCGGCCCTTGAAAATTCACACACATTTAAACACATTTAGAAAATTAATATTATTGAAATGTTTTTAAAACAAGCATTGTTTCGATTTAGAGCTGTATACAAAATGTGAGCAGTACTGCTGCTCTGCATCATTCATCCCCAAAACAGCATTCGTCACAACAGGGATTCGGCTGAGAATCACGCAACTTTCTTCCAAGAACATGCTCCTGGATCTCTCTGCAGCCTCAAGATCATATATGGAATATGACCTTAAGTGAAGCTGTCATAGAGCATGCTCAGGAAATCAAAGAAGGGCCTCACCACAGCGGACGAGCTTCCTCAAGCAGGGTGGCTTTTAAAGTTGCAGTGGCTTTTTAGAGAAATAAATATATAGACTGGATTGAGTGTATCTTGATAATTCAAGCTGCCAAGTTCTAATAAAAAAATCCTGGTGAATCTGGATTAGTGCTCTGCAGGGGTTGAGCTCTCCAGTGCCAAAGCAATCTGTGGACTAGTCTGGAGTAAAGCCACAAGTATATTTAAATAGCCCAGCAAGGTTTATTCTGAATAGCGCAATCTATCAGGCAACCTTACATGTCAGTTTAGGCACAACTCATAGCAGTTAATCATGGATCCTTTATGCTAAATCATTCCCTGAATGTTGACATGCAAATTCACTACCCACTGACAAATTCACTACCCACTGACATCAATGGGATTTTGTGGGTAGAATCCACACTAGACATATCCTACTATGTGGGCTTGTCAGATCTCATAAATGAAACAGGGTCAGGCCCGGTCAGTATGTGTATGGGGCACCTCCATAGAAAATCCAAGGTGCCACCAGAAGTAGTGTTGCTAAGCCCGCAGTTAGTATTCTTTCTTCTCAGTCAGTACCGAAGGGATATCCTAGTAAGTGCTGGGGCACTGTGTTTTCGCGGAGGTGCTATTGTGAAGACAGGATATAAAACTGAGGTCCTGGCTGCATAGTGTAAGGGGACTGTTGCCCCCTTACTAACATTCAGTGGGGGTGTTTTAGTTGCTAGCTCCCAGTACTAAAAAGGGGGAAGGGTCGATGGGGAATCAGGACCCTGAGACTGACAGCCCCCAGGAACAATGGGGAGAGGCCAATGCTCCAGGTCAGCCTGAATGACAGGGCAGGCAGGCTAATCAGGGAGTCAGGAGGCCAGGGAGGTCCTGTCCTCCGTCCTCCATGTGGGCTGGACTTGCCTGGGTCAGACAGAATGGGGCTGAGCTAAGGAGAAACCAGGGGCCCAAGCTGAGCTGGGGAGCAGAGCTGGGCCATATCCAGAGAGAGCAGACCCTGTCCTGGGAGCAGAGCTGCAGCCCCAAAGCCAGAGGCACAGCCCAGAGAGCAGACTTGCCCTGGGAAGAAAGCTGCAGCAACCAGAGCCAGAGGGGCCAGCAAAGCAGCCCATGAAGCAGGTCAGTGCTGGGAGCAGAGTCACAGAAGCAGGCTGCAGAGCAGACCTGTCCTGGGAGCAGAGCTGTAGCAACCAGAGCCAGCGAAGCAGCCCAGGGAGCTGGAGGCAGAGCAGCAGCAGGAGTAGCAGTGCTAAGACAGAGTGGTGGGGCTGGAGCAGTCCAGAGCTGGGTGCAATGAGCAGCTGGGAAGAGCGAGGGGGACCCTGGGCAGTGGGCCCAGCACAGGGAGATGCCTCAGCCAAGAGGCTCTGCAAGCCAGGCTTGGATCGTAACCCCGACAGGGTGGGGGTGACACTGGGAAGAAGTGTCCATCCCTGCAGCACAGCCAGGGCCTGAGAAGGAGGCCTGGGACTTACAAGGAACAGACTGAACTGCCCTGACATTCCAGAGACACTGTTTGTGATGTTCCCTGCCACAGAGCGGGGTGATGTGTTTCCTTTAACCTTTCCCATTTTCCCTTATTCTTTTTAAAATTAATTGTTGATTAAATAACTTGCATTTGCTTTAAATTGTATGTAATGGTCAGTGGGTCAGAGAAGTACCCAGTGCAGAGAGAGTACCCCAGAGCGGGGACACCCTAGCCCCTGTCCTAGATGACCACAGCAAGGTTGGGGGTAGAGCCCCTCAGGAATCCTGGGCCCAGCCTTGTTGGGATTACGAGGACGCTGCCAGACAGGAGAGTGGAAGGGGAGTCCTCAAGGGCAGGGAGACCACTGGGTAAAGGAAATGGGAGCGAGGACTCAGATCCTTTCGCTAGCCCACTTCACCAGGGTAGTGCAGAAGCCAGGAAAGTTCCCCACAATAGTGGGACTATTCCCCCGCTTACAATAGGGTCCTTAAAGAGACTATGTCACTTTTTGCATGAGCAAGGAGTGCAAGCCCTTGTGTCCTGGATACATAACAATTGGATAATTTTATTTTACCTCCCAAAATTTCCTTGGTAATTCCAATGGATGCAATGCTATATTTTCTACTCTACCCTCCTGTATGTTTCCAAGCAATTTTTAAAGGGTGCTGTGTACATTCCAGCGACAGGGAGGGTGAGCCTCATAAATACAATTCATAATATGTTTGTAAAATTTGTTAGACACTGGGATCTTTGGTAAAAGATTTCTTGTTGTTATTGTTGTTATGATAAAATGTAATGGAAGATTAATAAGCATGAAATATGCTGGCTCCTAAACTCAGTCCCAAACTCTCTGCTATGGAGATCAGAAGTCAGGAGTGGTGAACCTAGTTACTTTCTAGCAACTGCATCTTGCAAACACATGAACTGGGGTTGACAGAAACCAGAGACAGCTATGATGACTAGTGCTCCTCCAGTGAAGATAAGATTATGTTAATGTGGGATGTTTTAGAGGGAGAAAGGGTGGATTCCCTTAGGACTTCAAGAGCCTTTCCCCTTTACACCAAATTAAAACATCATAAAATGGAGCTATTCACATACAGGAGGAGATAACTTAGCTATTCCCAACACTGTTTATGTTAAACATCAATTTAGTGCACTATAATAAAATAATGAAGCCAGGATTTTCAAAAATTGGTGCCAAACATTAGGCTCCCAAGTCCATATTTGGGCACCTAAATACAGCGGCCTGGTTTTCAAACATACTGTGCACCTAGAACTCCCTCTGGCTTCACATGTCCTTGAAACAGCTTTTCCACAGGTTATCTGAGAAGGAGAGCGAGGAGAATTGCTTGGCTAAGGTCAGGGTACTCTTTTCTTTCTCAGTCTCCCATGCATACCTCTCTGATGCCTACACATCTCCTCCTCAACCCCCACTTCTAGTTTTTCAATAGGAAGCCAATTCAGTGCTCTGACTAGAGTGCTCTGATGTGTGTGTGTGTGTGCGGGGGGGAGATAAAGTAGAAAAACAGGATGACCTTTCCTACAGAAACCCCATGGTTTTGACTCAAAAACGTGGGTTCTCTCCTAAGGCTGTCCCTGCCAGGCAGGGCCCCGGAAAGGCCAAAAGTTGGACTTGCAGGGCATATAAACAAGCTTTTAAACTTCCATGCTGAGAACCTGCATGCCGTGTTTTATCTCTGAGCATATTAAAGCAGATAAGCTGCAAGGTTTATATTGTAAACACAGTCCAATTGTTAACTACTGCAGTGCTAACTGGTGCTACTGTAATGCTGCAACATAGTTCGTCCTAGCTACAAAAATCCACAGCACCCTAGCACCGAGGGGCTGGTCTAGCTGTAATCAAAACAGAGGCACAGCTTCAAGAGAGGCTGTCCATGCTCTCTCCTTGGACTGTCTGGGTTATGTCATAGAAAAATACAATCAATGCACCTTTGATCAATGGAATGGGGTGGTGACAGGTACTCTTAATTCACTGTTGTTAGTGAGTATTGACAAGCTGGTAATGATCATGCTGCGGTGTGTCACTCATGCTGTGGGCATTAGCATTCTTTAAAGGTCAAAAAACAAATCCTTTAAAAAGGCAGAATTCCATACAATGAAGGTAGAATGCAGGCCTCACAAAGTTAAAGCTGTATGCATTTGAGTAAGTGAGCCTCTTAGGGCTAACACCGGTATAGCTGTCCACATTATTAGCAAGTTCACCAACCTAAGGGTGTTAAAACAGCAGCCACTTCTGTACATACACATACATGTATATACGAAACTGGTGTATACGTAATTCCTGGCTCTTGGGCAGAGACGATGTCATTTTAAAAGATTAAAATTCATCCCTTAAGCTTTGAACCTACAAACTGATCCACCTGGGCACCTACACAGAATCTTAATATCTTCAGTAGGGTGCCACACTGGTGTAAGGATCCATCGGTTTGCAGAATCAGGATCTTATCATTTATTTTTAAAATATTTCTATTATTTTAACTTTCCCACTTAATTTAAAATGTGGAACACAATTAGTCATGTGTGGAGTGGAGGTAGAAGAGGGGACAGTCAGTTTCTGGGGTGGGGGGAACAGGAGGAAATGATAGTTATAAGAAACACAGGAAACAACAACAAAAGGATACTTACTCTGTGAGACTCTGACCAGCTCAGTCACACTGAAAACACCTGATGTGACAAAACTGTCCTGGAAGCCCAAATGTCCTACAGAACAAATAGAATGAAAGAATTTTGATGAGCGTTAAGCATTTAATGACAGTATTCTCAAATACTTTAGTTTCATTTAGATTTAAACTGTGACACCTAATTTCCCACTTAGCACAAATTATTATTTATGGAGGTGGGTAACTAGTCATACAGCTATGTAGGCTATTTTATGGTTTGTATCTGGAGGTTAAGAAAGCTAACATGACACATCAGCAGGGAGTTTTCTAGATGTTAAAGCATCTCAACAGGAAATCTGAAACAAAAGATGGTTAATATATGGTTACCTTAAATGACCCCTAACGACTTAACAACTGAAATTAAAATACTGTACCTAGGAATCAGACAGGACAGCTAAATTCTATAATCGTTTTAAACATTATTCTCTAAAGAAACATCTGATCAGGATTATCTACCCATTCATTCAAACAAAACAAGATTTAAAGATGTACTCTTCATTTTCTGAGGTTACACTAGGGAAATCTTAAAATAGCAGCTTTTTTTTTAAAAAAAACAAACCTTTAAAATGAATGCCTTTCCCATAAAGAAGAAAAATTCTAGCATTTAAAACAAGCTTTGCAGAAGAAAAAATAAATCTCTGCATAAGAAAAGCATTAACTTTAAGCCTTGGAATTTCTTTGAGACAGGGTATATGTTTCCCTGCCTGTTTCATTTGTGTAAGGCATGACTCTACATTTTATATCAAAATGTTGTTACACTTCACATAATGGTATTTTCCTATTTCTCTGAAAACATGTCTATCACCAAATGTTAATTCAATTTCATGGGCATAATCAATTACAAAGCAAGCAGCTTTCAAACTCAAAACCAAGTGCAAGTAAGTGTACATAGCTGGATTTACAGTTCATACAGTACATATCAGGACTTCAATTAGAGGTCTGGAGCTAGCAGGCCAGGCTGACCTCTTGCTTTTGAAATCAGGGTCAAGGGAGAAATCTCCGGATAAAGGGATTATTAAAAGAACTGTAAAGTCGTATTTGTTCACAGGATAAGTGGCATACCTTTTAAGGTTGTCCTACTTAAAGTCACTGATTCCAATGCACGCACACACATATTATTGAATGTTTTATAGGGGCACCATCTGCCTTACATAGTTAACTGTCTCTCAGATACAGTATTATATAATTATATTTATACAGTACACTATACACTACTGGAATTATAATTTTGTGTCTATATGTCCCTCTATGTGTGTGTTTGTATTACATATGTACACAAATATATTCACAAATCTGTCACGATCCAATAGTTTACAGCTAAATTACTCAAATGTACTTGATGTTAAAACGTAACCCAAATAAATCTCTCAATCTACTAGCATGAATTTTTTTGAATTTTTGAGGGAAAGAAACTTTGAATATTTTAAGGACAGGTTTCAGAGTAGCCGCTGTATTCGCAAAAAGAAAAGGAGTACTTGTGGCACCTTAGCTCAAATAAATTGGTTAGTCTCTAAGGTGCCACAAGTCCTCCTTTTCTTTTTGAATATTTTAAGTGCATAAAATGCCAAAGTAGAAACTGAGTGGGTTTTTTTTCATTTTCTCAACTAAAAAGTAGATTTCAGAAAATGTATGTGATTGTGCCTGGCTCAGTTTGCATTTTTCAATAATAAAGTTCATAATTGAATCATTTTTCTTTTTAAAAGTGGGTAATTAGTCTAATAGAATATGTTCATTGGCAATTTCCTGAGTATTTTTAATATGAGAGTCTACTTTTCATATACTGCAGCAGATTTGTTTACTGGATTAAAAGATCTATGAATTAAAAATAATTCTCTTAGGTCCTCACTTCAATGGGACCACTCAGACACCTAAAGTTAAGCACATGCTTAAGTGCTTTGCTGGATAAGGGCCAGAATGCTCAGTACATGGCACCATCAAGCCCTTGGTAGGTCTGATAACAATGGACTACACTGGTTCTGCCTGTTGTGTCCACTGGCACCTTTGTTTGCCTGACAGGCTGTAACAAAGGAGATCCTATTGCAATAATGGTTAGGGTGTGATTTAAAAATACACAAAAGCAAGAACATTCACAATGAAGGTAAAACATTGGGCTCATTCTCAAAGTGTTAGTTCACTCGTGAGTGTGTGTGTGTGTGTGTGTGTGTTTAGAGGACTGTAGGTGCGATTGAACAATAGTGCAAAGCCTGACAAGATTTTCAGTCTTAATTGGTGAAAATAAATATTTATTGGTTGAGATTTTTTAATTGAATTATACATTCATACATGATTAGGAAATCGGGGCCCTTACTCACACCATTCAAATCCTGACTCATATGAGCTGTTCTCTTGCATAGGCCCTGATCCTGCAATCTGATCCATGCATGCATAGATACGTAGTGCCCCATTGAGTTTAGTGGACTCCGTGCAGGCCTAAAGTTCTGCCTACATGATTCCGATTGCAGAACTAGGGCTTAGGTTTCTAAAATTGTGATGATAAGTGCAACAAAAAAGAGGAAAAAATGAAGGGAGCTCACCAAACAAATGACAAAGGAATGGCCAGGACATAGTATAATTAACAAGAAAAGCTGTAAAAATGTAATTTTTTTGTGCCTGCTAAAAAATGGCAAAATGGAAAAATGTCTTTCAGAGACACTGTATCAATTTGGCTGTTCCACTTAATTGTGAATAAGAAAAAAAATTAGGTAAAGTTATTAAGTAATTCCAAAAGCAGATGTTAACATTAAAAGATCCTTAATTGAAAAGAGGATTAAACATCCTAAAGTCTGCAAGATTTATTTCTAATGCAGCGCTTTTCTGAAATATATGCAAAATTATACTTTTGTTAAATACCCCTAAGATAGGAAGTTGAAATTGCTGTTCATGAACTGGTTATCTCTCCAGTTTTGTACCTCAATCATATTTGGGTAGTAAAGCTGGTGTTTAAAACGAGGAGTAGATAATCCTTATTCAATTTACCAAAAACTATTCATTCACTGAAGTTCTATGCATAAACTAGGGCACTTGGACACCTAAGATAGGCCCTGATGCAGCAAAGCCCTAGAGCATACGCTTAACTGTAAGCATGTGCTTAAGAAAAGCACATGCTTAATTAAATGCTTCGCCAAATAGGAATGGGCTTACTCAAGTGCTTAAACTTAAACAGGTGCTTAAGTGCTTTCCTGAATCAAGGCTTTATGTCCAAAGCAACTCCCACTGAAATTAGTGGGAGTCTTTCCATTGATTTAAATCGGAGTTGGATCGGGGCATGAAAGAATAAACCCTAGGTTTCAGTACTTCGCTGTAAGTCAGATTTATGGGGATGATAATTTTTTTCTGGAGGAAGTAAGAAAATAATAAAGTTAGCTGAATAAGGTATATAATAATACCAATCAGTAAATAGGTTTCAGAGTAGCAGCCGTGTTAGTCTGTATTCGCAAAAAGAAAAGGAGTACTTGTGGCACCTTAGAGACTAACCAATTTATTTGAGCATAAGCTTTCGTGAGCTACAGCTCACTTCATCGGATGCACAAAAGCTTATGCTCAAATAAATTTGTTAGTCTCTAAGGTGTTAGTCCTTTTCTTTTTGCGAATCAGTAAATAGTATCTTAGTACCTAGTACACTCTTGGTATTATACAAATAATATGCATACATAACACCACCACCACAGTAAAAGCAATTCACTTTAGCTTGATGGTGACAGTGTAATTATGTAAAATGTAATCCTATAAATTACATTTTCTTCATTTTGGGTTCAAACATTACCCCAATAATGTAGGAGCGAAAACAAGTCTACGTTTAAGGAACCAAATTCTGATCTTCCATCATGTGATGGGGCGTCCACCCCACAGAGGGTTGAAAGGGATTAAGGTGGCCAGGCAGGCCAATTAACTCCACCAGGTGCACCTGGAGGAGGAGCCAGGGAGCACACCACTAATTAGAAGTAGGTTCAGCGGGGCTGGAACAGGCAGGGCCAGTATAAAGCCCTGGAGCTGTGAGCATCAAGGAGGCTGTATGAAGGCAGGGAAGCAGGCTGCAGTTACTCCCTGTGTGGAAGGAGTTGGGAGCCTGGCCAGCCCAGAGAGGGGAGAAGCCCAGGAAAACAGCAACAAGGGGTCAGACTGTGTAGAGACCATGGCTACTTGTTATAGGGTCCCTGGGCTAGAACCTGGTGTAGAGAGCGTGCTTGGGTTCCCCTACCAGCCAATGGGGAGTGGCAAGGGCATTGGAGATGCCAGCCATTCAGAGGGTCTGGAAGGACTTTGAATTCTCCAGAAGGGGAGGACCTTAGTGACCTGGCCAGAGGGCCAAGCCATGAAGAGGAAATGGCAGATCTGAGAGTGAGTGGGGCCACACGGCGAGACAGGATGAGGCAAGACATCACCAGAGGGCGAGCATAAGCCTGGCGGAGCTAATTCCCAGGACGGCCAGCAGGAGGTGCTGCTAGCGATGAGTGAACCCCGTGACATACCAGTTATGTGCAAGTCCATTTCCACTGACCTTAACATAGTTTTCCAGTTTTACATTGGTGAATGTGAGATCAGAATTAAGCCTCAAGGTCTCATTCCATTTGCTCTGTGTTATTAAGTGAATTCATATAAAGATTGAGTCAATGGAGGCTTTGTGTGTACAAAAGCCAAATACATTGCCTCCCAATATTTAGTGTACATGGAGAGTCACCTTTGTATTCCTAATTAATGCCCAGGAAGGGAGTCTCAGATGTAGGAAGATTACAGATCAAGCACTTGCATTGTAGTTTGAGAAAATCACAACTGAAGCATTTACTTTTATCTGGAAATATAGTAAGCTCATCAGGTCACTGTTCCTTAACCACATACCAAAAAATGTTTTCATTGTACTAATGTTCAAAGTGTTACTGCTGTTTAAAAAGTTTCCCTTATATTATTAATTATTATTCTTATTATTTATTAAATGATTATATAGTGCCATAAGTGTATGTGGTGCTTTGCAAACAAAGCATGTTCTCTGTAATTTGAACAATAATATACCGTGAAAGAGTTAATCCACTGAAGATGAAAAAG